TGTTCTTGTAAATTACTTTACTAATGTTCTTACTAGTAAATTACCTTCGTACGTCTGAATACCGAAAACTAGATATACCACTTTTCCTTCCACTCATGTACAGATATTTCCCTAAACGTCATAACGCAATACATAAAAGAAAGACCAAACACGTATTTTTGAGACTAAAAGACGTAGATTCACAAAAAAAAAAATATCAGGATGATTGAGGATGCAGATTCGTTTGACATCAATGTTCTTCTCTTTTCTTCAGCTGGTTTGTATTTTCGTTAACAAACATAAAAATCAGAAATGTTCATGGTGCTACACGAAATAATAATTTGGTCTAAGTAAGCGTTTTTTTTCCTTCGCGATACCAAAAATGAATATTATTTTCCAAATTTGCGTAGCTGAATTATGGAAAATATGTTATTAAAAACCAAAACAACTTTTATTAAGTTTAAATTCGCTGGTCTGCGTAATTAATCATAGTTTTTTCTTCTTTAAAGAAAAAAACTGAGGTACTGAATAAATAATGTAATGTTAAAATATAATATGCCTAATATTAATGTCTTATGACAAGAATAATGCATTGTGTTCATGTTTCGTCAGCTAAGAAAAGGCTTTTACACCATAATAATAGTTGTTGTAACAAATGGTTTATATAAATAGTGTTCCGACCTCTACGCCGTTTGTTGTATCTCAGCTGGCCTGGTGAGCTTTCTATTGAGCAAAACGCGTCATAGGAAATGGATATGACTAACACAGAGTGGTTGAAATAGTATTATTCGCTCTTCTTCTTCTTGAAAAAAAACCCAAAAGGACTGAATGAAAAACGTAGTGTTAAAATATAATAGGTCTAATGAAAAAGCCTTAATGCCAAGTACGAGTTTGGCATGACCTGGTGATTAGGGCTTTTGATTCGGAATTTGCGGGCCCATTTCCGAACGTACTCGCCCTTTCAGCCGTGAGAACGTTATAATTTGGCGATCCATCTCACTTTTTGGGTTAGAATTAGAGATCTGTGGTGTTAACTAGCTCTTTTAAACTGAGGATGGCTAGCACAGATAGCCATTGACACTCAACAAACACAAAACAAACATAATTATGACAAGTATAACTAATTATTGTAATCGCATGTTGAGAGAAGTACATATAGTGTCAAATACTACATAAACTTATATTATTGAACCTATGAACATGCATACACTTTACATTTATTCCATAAAATACATACACCGAATTGCGTTACTATTAATTGAGGGTTCGATCCAAGTACAAGTAAAGTTGAAATTTGAGAATTTATTTTCATATGAAGGAGAAAATCGTTGGCTACTTATTTAGTTATCTTTTAAATGTATGCCAATTGTACGGATTCTCACTCTCTATAAATCATATCCAACGGTAAGCTGGAGGGCATATAACGCTAAAATTTGGGACTCGATCCTTGTGGTAATGGGCATAGCGTAGATAGCCCATTAAGTGACAAATTGAACAAAGTGTTTTAAAGAATAATAAAAATAAGTTATCAGAAATTTGTTAGCAAGCTTCAGGCCAATCTAATGTTCCTTTATAAAATCAACAAGATAACCTCGACCTTCGCTGAAGTATCCCCAATGTATAACACTACCGTAATTACAAATATTCATAGAAGCACCATAGAAAAAAAAACACACTCTAATATTGATTTCAAACACCAAAAGATGTCACATCTTATGTAAAAATGTGAGTTTTGAAGATTTGTTTTTGGTCTGTTATTAAATTTACCGCTTACTGTTATTTTATTTTTTCTGATATCAGTGAGAACAAGCACCGTTTACTATACTATTTTTATTGCTTTACCCCATTACATGTCAAATAGTAACAAAACACCTTAAAACAAAGTATGTTCCACTAGAAAAATACCCCAGAATGTCAGTTTTAAGTTTACTTAAGTTGGAGCAGAGATACCAATAAGCCGCAATCACTTTAATCTCGTTTTTTTTTTTCGTTTTGTTTTGACAAAGAAAGTAGTTTTTTTTTGTAATTCTAATCAACTATTTGCTGTAAAACGTTTAGTGTTTTTGATTGGCACTTCACCCACACATCCATTTCAGCAAGCTAGTTTAACTACGCGGGCTGGCAGCCTTGAGGATAATGAGTACCCATGCGCTACGTGATGGTCTGTGAAGTTCCGTGGGGGTTTTTAATTGCTTTTTGGAATCTAACATGCATCTTTAGTGACAGAGATAGTGAGTGTGAGATGAGTCTCTGCTTCTTCGTTTTATAAATTTCTACAAGGAGTGTGACGTAAATTGTGCATCGATAAATTAGATCAAAATGTTTAAAAAATATCTAGGTTTCAAAACTGTTTAAACGTGATCGTTGAATACGTTTGTTTGTTTGTTTTGAATGTCGCGCAAAGCTACACGAGGGCTATCTGCGCTAGCCGTCCCTAATTTATCGGAGTGAGACTAGAGGGAAGGCAGCTAGTTATCACCACCCAACGCCAACTTTTGGGCTACTCTTTTACCAACGAATAGTGGGATTGACCGTCACGTTATAACGTTAATGGCTGAAAGGGAGAGCATGTTTGTTGGGAAGGGAGGCAGCAGTGATCCGGAGAAATGTAAGTTACCCGAGCTAGTCCATGATAGGTCAGCGGTAAGATTATTGACTTACAATACTACAATCCGGGGTTCGAATATCTCAGGTGGACAGAGCCCAGATAGTCTATCGTGTGGCTTTGAGGTAAAACAAACAAACAGTACATTATCTATTTTTGAAGAATTTATCTTCATCTCACTTCTACAAGAAATTTTATCGAAAGCTGCTCTTAACTAAAAAAAAAAAAGTTTAATAATTTAAATTTAATGCACTATCGAAAATAATAGAGTATAGCACGTGTTTTTTATCGTTCCAAGGAAATATGAATTTCACTTTCAGAATTTTACAAGTAAATTACACGGAAACCTCTTCCTAGAAAAAAAATCTTATCTATACAGTGAATTCAGTTTTGAACTCTGAAAGCATCTGTTGGATGAGTGTTCCGCTCTATTTTCATCTTCTATCATCCAGCAACTTTCGGCAGTTACCAAGGTACTGTATATGCTCTTGATAAACACACATCCCGAGCAATTTGCGCACGCTCGCAGTTCGGTGGTCGATTCACTTCGTACTTAAACGCGTCTCACAGACATATTTTCCAGACACTAAGCATGATCTGTCTTCTCGTGAGCACTTCAGAATGAGAAACGACGAGAGTTGACTACAACGATCAAACTTTCTCCGCAAGTTTTGTTTTCATATGATATTTTATGCACACAAGCTTCAGATATATTAGCATAACCTTGTTTGAATGTTGAAAACGTCAAACTTTTAAAAAAAAATTAATAATAAAAAATGAATAGGCGGATAAACTGACTGTATAGTCTGTCGAATCCGCTGCGTGGAAAGACTTCGGACGTTGTGCTTCGACTTGTCAACTCTTCTTTTGGTAAGTTTTAAGTACTTTATTTTCAAAATCTAATGTGAATATTTTGCATTAATAACTGTGACTGATGTATTAAGTTACACTTACAGTCTTCTGTCTGTATATATGTCTGTCTAAACACTAACAACCAAGCTACTGAATACGGTGATGCCTCATACACACAGCAAAATAAAGTAGCTTGGTATTACTCGCAATGAATAAGTTTATGTAACTCAGTGATGATTCACAGTAGAATCAAGAGCCAAACTAAATGCAGGTTCAGTTTTACAGCACGTGAATAAAATGGTGCAATGTGAATAATGCCAAGTTGTTGGGTTTATGAAACATTACCCATTGTTTAAGCTATTGTTGTTTTTTTCGCTGAAGCGTTTTTCAATGGTTTTCTCGTATTTTGTATGTTACATCAGTCCAAGACATCAATACCGTAATTATTATTGTTTAACTAGATCTTTAAAGTGAATGAACTCATACAAGGGAAGTGATATGTAGATCAGGATATTTCCTCGCAATTGGAGGGTCGCGGGTTCGAATCCCCGTCCCACCAAACATGCTCGCCCTTTCAGCCGTGGGGGCGTTATAATGTGACGGTCAATCCCACTATTCGTTGGTAAAAGAGTAGCCCAAGAGTTGGCGGTGGGTGATGATGACTAGCTGCCTTCCCTCTAGTCTTACACTGCAAAATTAGGGACGGCTAACGCAGATAGCCCTCGTGTAGCTTTACGCAAAATTCAAAAACAAACAAACAATGATAATTAAAAAAATTTTTTTTGGCAATAATTTATCACCATAATCCCCCACAAAATTTGCAAGGATTATTTTTTCGATTTTAATCTGATCCCCTCTCTCTTTGTGTACTGTTTTTGAGAATTTTATTCTGTAGCCAGACTAAATTATGGGAAAGTTAAATTGTTGCGTAATTCTAATAAATGGTTAGGTTATCACAAGGTGATAAGAGGATAAAATCACATTGCTTGGAGATGTTTGAGAGTGGATGTCCCTTTAAATCACAACTTATTTTTAATTGGCCATTGGTTAGGGCAGTGTGGATGAGATCTGTGTTTTCGTCGCCATGTTTTTGTGTTTACAGGAAGTAATATTTCAGTGGGTTAATAACATTAATAACACTTTATAGAAGAATGCTTTGGATAGACTTCTCACTGTAGAATCATGTTACATTCTTTTCTAAGGAAGAACATCATTTAGCGAGATTGTTAAACAATGTAGTGCCGAAGGATACAACATTTCAAAGAAGGAATATTTCTATGTTATCTGTGAAAGAAGGAGTCATGCACAGAAAAACATTTAAGTCAGTAACTAGCCCCAGTAACCAACTAACTTATCCGCAAAGTGAAAGGAATGGCTACAGAAGCCATCGTGACGAAATTGGGTATATATATTCGAATCGTTGGCGGGATAACAAACAAGAATTCGAAGCTCATCAAAGGTTAAAACGCTAAACATTTCAGTTACAATATTCCAGTTATACCTCAAAATAAGCAGCTGCTTTCACGAGAGGGATCCTGAAATTATGGCAAATACTTTTGACCACATACCTGTCAATTCCCCCTGATGCAGTTAACTGTTCTTATGCTCTCAGTCTGCTCAAACGTGATAGTGGAAACCGACGTCCACGTACAAAGGAGGAGATGTGGAAAGTTTGTGAAAACATTATTTTTCTTATATATATTTTAAATTTCGGTCATCTGAATGAGCACCAACAACAACTGAAGAAATAGTTCAAAGGACAACACAGAGCCTTGAACTTTATTCTTATAAAATGCAAATAACGCTCAGAAATTGCAAGTTTTTACTATTCCTTTCAAATTTTGAAATTGAAAATCCATCTAGTATTCGCGCGCTTTCATCCTTTAATTGGCCACCATTGCTTATTTGTTGGCTAGCTGCGCATAGCCGTCCCTAATTATGAAATGATAGGTTAGAGAGAAGGCAGCAAGTCAATAGCACCATCCGCAACTCTTGGGCTACCTATAATCCAAAAGATCATAGCGCGTTTTTGCAGCAACCGGACGCGAACTTTCAAATCTTTGATTTCACAGTCCGAGCAGGCTAACTGTTTTACCACGCAAAGATTAGGGAAAAAAAGGGGGTTGCGAGTAATTAAGTAGTTGTAGTGAATTAATTTTCTTTCAGTTGACACGAGTTTTTCTGCTTTGTGTTTCTAAACCCACATTAACTTGAAATAGAATGACATTAAAAATAATTTGAAATAGAATGACTTAAAAAAAAAACATTTCCTCTTCCAAAAGAAAATTTAAATTTAAAATTATTAAAATGATGTTTAAATAGGCTTGCTGTGCTAAATATTTTGTATTCTACTGTAAGACAGAAATCACATAACGTATTAAAATAGCTTTCATGTTGAGCACACAGAAGAACAAAAATTTATTTCAGTTTTTATAAAACTGATCTACGTTCGTTAATGAGATCTGACGCAGTAATTTTGTAGATGTAATCTAAAAAATCTCTTGAAAAAATTCTAATAATTTGCATATTACTTTTGATAAATCTGTAATTCAAGCTCCAACAAAATATATTACAAGTAATGATTTATTTGTTTCGGTCTAGAAAATTAATTTAAACTTCTACAAGAAAAAAAAACGGAATCTATGAATTAATGAATTAAATGTCTCAAAACTAAACTTTTAAAAATGTTTAGTAGCAATAAAGTCGAAAGTTTGGCGAGCTTAGTAGAAAGGTTAAAATTCACTAAGATCAGTGATCTATAAATTACCAACATATTATATACTGTTCTCTTACATAATATATATATATATATACACACACCATTATAATCATTGTTATTTATGAAACACACTATAAGAAAAGAAAGGAATGTAACTAAGCTTACTAGACACATATAAATGTATTTGTTTTATATTCTGTTATTGATTTCCTGTCCCTTGAAAAATGACCCCCAGTGGCACGGCGGTATTTCTGCGGACTTACAACGCTAGAATCCGTGTTTCGATACCCGTGGTGGGCAGAGCACAGATATTCCATTATGTAGCCTTGTGCTTAATTACAAACTAGCCCTTAAAAAAAAATACAGAAGCGTTTGAATAACAACACCTATTACGTTATTTTTTAGATTGTTTAATTTGAAGTCGATGATTTGAAATAGGAAAACTATATCGTGCTGCATTGAATTTTATGTTTATAAAACTTAAATGCACCCGAAGAATTTCATGACGTTACTGTTTTGAATGAAGCATTTTATAACACTAACAACAGAGCAAATTTTTTTTAACTTTCTAATCTGTAATATATATATATATATATATATATACCAAAATCAATGCTTATAAAAACATTTAGTTAAAATGCTATACTTAATAATTTAAATATATGATTTATAGTTTCGATGTTATCACTTTTGACATAATATTGAAATTCTTAATTCACTGTTAAAATTGTATTCAAGAGCGAAACAGACAATAATATAAGCCACGATACATACAAGTGATTTATCTGCACCTTTAAAATATAAGAACAAGTCAATGGTTAAACGGAATTTTTTTTAAAATTACAATTTGAGTTGAATTGTCTCTGTAAAAATTCTAGCAAGTTCAAGTACATTGAGAATCTGAGTTACCATTAATGATTCAGGAAAAATTTCGAGTATAGTTTACGTGTTCTCTGTGGTTAAATAATGCATTTATTTCTTCAGATTCTCACTAAATATTACTCTAGCACAGAAAATATGTTCAATTACTAAGAACCTATCATCTCAATTCATCGAGGGCCTGATGTGACGTTATTCACGCTACAGAGAAAGGAAAAAAAAGTTTCTTTTTTTATCTAAAGTTTCTTTATAATTTTATTTTTGAATAATCCTTACAATAACATTACGTGTTTAGTAAGGCTTGAATTTTGAAAGAGTATTCAGAGGAAGTGCTCAGATATTGGCTGATACATGAAGGACGTTTGATCATTTAGCTGCACAATGGGCTACGTGCGCTATGCAAACTGTAGGGATCGAACCCCTACATTTAGCGTCATAAGCCCTCAAGCTCACCACTGAGTCGCCGAGTGGCTATTTCAAAAACGTTGAAACAAATAGCACGGTTATCACGTGTGCTAATTTCTAACGAATTTGCATCCCACGTTTCGGGTGCTAATCTACTACCGTCTTCAGGGAAGTCGTTACAAAAATTTGTCTGTGATAGCAGAGGCTGGGATTTGACCCATGGCCTTCTTTTTAGAAAGGTAGAAAAAATAGCAACTAATTAATAACTAAACATAGAGGACTGAATAAGTTGCTAATCACAACAACACTGGTGTTTATCCGATTGCCACAACTTTACCCTAAGCACTTATTGTCGTTTAGGGCTGACATTTTTCAGAAATTATATATGAACTATATTTTTCGAAAAAAAATTGGAAAAAGTTAAACCACATAGCGAAACGTTAACTCTTATCCTTTATTGCCTCCGAAGGTGAAGGAGGTTATGCTTTCACTCCTGTTTGTTTGTATGTTTGTCAGCAAGATTTCTCGAAAATGACTGAATGGATTTGGATGAAAGTAGGTACACGTTTGAACTATGTCCCAACTTAGAAGTGAAAAGTGATTAGTTTTTGGAGGATCAAGGTCACGAAAAGAAATCCCTATCTGTTAGCATGGGCACTGATTTTTCACACTATTTTTACTCTATAACTCAGCCAAAATTGACCGGATTTTGATGAAACTTTGTGGACTTATGTCGAATATTATTTCTCATTATAGTCCCCAAAATGGTCCGTATTCATTGATAACGACGGACATAAGGACACATTTTCTTATTTTTTGAGGGCCTAATATGATCAACGCTGCCTGGTGGAAGTATGCGCTCTACTGAATTTTATTTTTTTGTGAAGATAAAAATTAAAATATCAAAATTGTGAATTTAATTTTTTAGCATAGGAACCTAGATCCTATTAAATTGCTTCTTTGTTTGAAAATTAATGTTACAGTTTTGTTCGTTAGGCTAATAACAAGTAATCAA